CCCGCTACCCGAGAGCCCCGGCCCTTCTGTAAGCACCCCGACCCGCGAGTGCGCTCTTTACGCTTGACTCGCCCTTGGTCCCGCCCCCGCCCCTCGTAGGCCCCGCCCCCTTCGGGCTGTGCTCCAATCACCGTCCCCGCAGCTCGGCCCCTCTATCCCTTACAGTGTCCTTCCAGGCCTCGCCCCTTCCACGGTCCCTCTGCCCTCTGCCCTTGTGTTCTCCTCCCCTGCCCTGGCCAAACCGCCTTCTCTTGGTATTCCCCCGACCTCACCCGCCGGCCCCGCCTCTCTCGCTGACCACGCCCCCTGCAGCTTCTGGAGCGCTGGTGGCAGCCACTGCTGGACCCTCTGCGGGCCTGCCTGCCGCTGGGATCCCGAGCGCTGCCCGCGGGCTTCCCCCTGCACACGGACATCCTCGGGTAGGGCTCAGACCGGGGAGTGGGTTGGGGGTCCTCATCCCCTCTTTTCTGGCCGTGACACCTCTTTTCTCACAGGCTGCTGCTCCTCCACCTGGAACTGAAACGTTGCCTCTTCACGGTGGAGCCCTCGGGGGATCAAGGTGACTGAGTGGAGGGCGGGGCCGGGAGGGGCGTGGGCTGGGGAGGGGCTCTCTGTTACCCTGTCCCTCTTCCCCCTTCAGAACCGTCTTCTGAGCAGCGTCGGCGCCTCTTCCGCTCCTTCTACACCCTGGTCACCGCCACGCACTTTCCACCAGGTCAGCGGCGGGCACAGCGCCCCCTTTGCACAGGCTGGGACACTTGAGTCCCAGCTCTCACAAGGTGATGGTGGGGAAACTGGTAGAAGCCAGCTGCGAAGTGGGCGTGGCTGCCTGTGAGGACTGGGCAGTGCACACTGACAGGAAGGCAAGAGAGGGGCAGGGAGGTCCCAATCGGCAGGTTTCAGGACCTCCTGGCTAATCCTAATAGCTAACACTGAGGCCTCATGTCCTGCCAAGTGCTTTTCTGTGTACTGACTCACTTCATCCTCATAGGTGAGGGCTATCTCCTGTTACGTCATCATTCCCATATTATGGATGAGGAAACAGGCTCAGCTAATGAGCAGCAGAGCCACGATTCAGCCAGGCAAGCCTGGCTCCCACATCCACACACTCCTGCTCTAGTGCTGCAAGTACACGCTTTGCCGATAGTCTTGGGTGGAGTAGGGGTGGTAGATTCCACGGAGCCCAGGTCCAGAAGGAAAAGTTGTCACATACGACCTGTGAGGCTCAGAGAGACAAAGGAAGGGACCTAGAGTGACACTACCACCCCAGCGAAGACCCTGATGAATTTAACAAAATGGTAAAAAGCTCCACATGGAAGGGGCAGACGACTGTCCCTTCCTAGCTATGCGACTCCACCTCCCAACCTGCTTCCCACCTGTAAGTGGGGCAGGGTCCTCAGAAGGGTTACGGGAGGTCTTCCCTGGAGCTCAGCGCCCGGCACCTGGGAAACATCTCCTGCGTGTTTATGATCTGTATTGCTAAGCAGATTACCTAGGGCTGCACACGCAGTGTCCCCAAGAAAGTGGGGGACTGAGGCTGGGTGGGAAGAGGGGGAGAAAGTCCGTGATCTTCTCAGGTCCTGACAGCTGGCTGGAGCTGTAAGGCTTTCCTCTGTCAGGAGTCAAACTTAGGCCCAGGATGGGGGGTGGCCCCCGCAGGTTGGCATCCTAGTTATCCAGGCCCCACTGGTCACCTCGGCCCTCCCTGTCCTTCCTTCAGAGGCGGGGCAGCCAGAGAAGGCGGAGGAGGTGGTCCATCGGGCGCAGGTACCGAGAGCCTGCTACCTGGTGTCAGGGGCTGAGGAGCCAGGCACAGGATGGCGACTGGTGGCCCTGCAGTTGGGGCCACGGCAGTTGCTGCTGCTGCTGTCTGCTCAGAGCCCCACGCATGGGCTGCGGGGCCTAGCCACCCACACTCTGCATGCCCTCACCCCACTCCTCTGACCGCTGGGCGTGAGCGCCAGACACAGACAAGGACATGGGGCTGTTAGCGTCTCTCTGTTTATTCGCTCACAATAATACACAGCCCCTGGACAGGGAGCGGGCAGGAGGGGCTACGACAGGGTGGGGTGGGAGGGGAGGACATTCCCACTTCCCTGGCCCCTCTCCCCTCTGTGCTTCGGGGGGGAAAGGGAGGGAGGGGGCTCCCCCTTACCCCCCAGAATGTAAACAGCAGCAGATGAACAAAAATAAAAATACAAAAGGCTGGAGGAAGGTCCTGGGCACCCTCCGACCCCGGGGTCTTCCCTGTCACCAGCAGAGGTCCCCTCGCTGCCCCATCCACCACGGTTGCCTCAGTCCTGGTGGCTGCCCAGTGCCGGCCACATCCCCGGGGGCACAGTCCAGGGCTCAGAACTGCTGGGCCAGCAGCTCACAGAGGTGACGGGAGACGGGCTCCTTACTGGTGCGCAGGGTCAGCCGGTACATCTGGGGGGACGGGGGGACTCAGGGAGGAGGCAGAGAGGATGGAGAGCCCGGGGG